GCTTTTAGTAAAGTTAGCCTTATTCATTGAGTGAAAATGTGCACCTTTGGGGTTTGTAGTATTTGTAATTACATATTTTCACAGTCTTACACCTCAACAGTTTTACATCAATATGTGACTTTCTGAGTTTAAAATGTATCTTTTAAATTGACAAATGTCATATGTGTAATTTAGGCACAAGATCAAAATATTTGTTGTCTCTCGCCATTGACTACCATATAATATTTTTCCGAAATTAAATCCCATGGTGGCCGACCGAAGGGGTGGGAGTTAGGCTCTCTATTAGTATTTACTTCAGTTGGAGGTAAAACTTAATGTAACTGCTGACCCTAACACATCATACCCCAAGGCAAATGGTTCATTTAATAAATCATAAAATGTTCATGTGCTCCTTTCTATTGACTGTTCATTTTATGCTTTCTTAAAGGTTCAATTTAAAGTTGGAATGTGTGGGATGTCTCCTATCCCAGCTTAAGAAGCAAATATATTTAAGCTGTATAAAGGTTTAGTTGCCCTGGAAGTTAATAAAGTACAGTAACTTTGTTTGAGCTGTGGCGGATGAACAGGAGTGAGTGGGAAACGGGAGATCATTCTGTGCTGATGATTTCTGTTCATTGAAATGATCTCATGACCCTTTCTCTAATACCATCTGCCTTTGACTATCAATAGCAAATCTTGTTCTTGGCTGTAAAGTAAACCAAAGGCTGTTAGCTATTTACAATTAGAGTTGATCCGATACCGATACTAGTATCGGAAATGCCGTCGATACCAATGAAAAATCTGGCATTGGTATCAGCCAGTACTTCTACCCATGTACCGATCCGATACCATTTTCTTAAACAATAACTAGTTATGCACGTTAGCTTTGCTTAATGCTGCAAATCGGAGATCAATTCTTCTTCGCTTCTTCGCTGCTTGTGGCAACACATGAAGTCGTGCTGTTGCCACAAGCAACCATTGTTTAGAGCAGCGAAGAAGAAAGCGCGCGCTAGTAGTATGTCTGCTGTTTGACAGTATTTAAGACTGGACCAACCAGCCAGTAAAACAGCGACATGTCTTATATGTTATACTGCAATTTCATATTTACATACGGTTAGCACAAGATTAGCAGCTTCAACACTAAATAAAGCATTTGAAGACGCGTCACCCCGCAGAAGACGATGGCAAGGGCAGAGAAGGAAGAGCCGCGCCAGAATCAGCGATCTCTGGAAGCTTCATTCAAACAAAGAGAAATGTTTTCAAAAGACAGCCAATGAGCGATAAATACATACGACAAAATTATCGAGTTTATGGTCAACTGAAATGCCTTTGTATTTAACAAAATTGTTTCAGGACTTGAAGTTATAAAGAGGTTATTTTCTTATTTTTTTCATATATAATTTTTTTGATTCCTAGATTTATTTTTTGCACTTTTAATATACAGTTGTATTTGTAAATCTAAAATACCTTTTTCAGTTTAGTATTAGATGTGTGGCTGCATTTTAAGTTCTTTTTCACTGAAGAAAAATAAATAGATTAAAATAAACAGACTCAGATAATAAAAATACTCTAGTTCACTTCATCTATTTGTTCATGTTTTATTAAGGGATCAGTCTGAAGCACATCATAAAATAATTCATACAGTGCTATAAGTTGACCTATGGCTAAGCCACACCCCCTCCACTCACTCGGACAAACAGTCAACATTCGGAGACAGGCGGACTATGACAGCTGTCACATCGAAGACATTATACTGATGATTTTCGGAGACAGAAAGATTATATATCATCTTGAAGTCACCTAAAGTGCCTTAACTATGCATTGGAGGGTTATATTAATAATTTTATTGTTGAGAAGGTCGATGAAAAGCTTCAGCTCCAGGCAAGAATTTACAGGTCACAGTGTAAACGTGCAATCACCGTTTTACTACAGTATTTACATGAATCATTCAGCACAACATTGTTAACATTTGTTATCTCGGTTATTTACAGATACGTTAATGAAGCTAAGTGACATGTACAACGCAGCTAAAAGCTAACGCTAACGTTTTCTAATGTTAGGCTAACGTTAGCCTAACGTTACATTAGAGATGTTAAAGATAACGTTCAAATACGTTGTTCACTTAACTTAGATCAGATGTAGATGTAGATCAGTTGTGGTCTACTGCTTAATTGCATTACTTAATCCAGAGCAGACACTTATCCCGGTTGAGATGTGGCTTGGGAAAGAGTAAAAAAATCCACACCGTCGCCCAGCCTCTCGGGATACCTAGTGTCTGAGTTGCATGTACCCCATGCACACAGCTTGACCATTTTAAACTTAAAATGACAAGAAAAACATAAAAACAAAAGAAAACTGACTAACTACAATGCATTCCAATAGACGTGGAAGCAAAGGATGTCCGAGTGTATTGGGTTAGCTATGCGCACTGTGATTGGCTCATCGCGTTTGGGGGCGTGGCTTAGCCATAGGTCAATTGCAGGGGTACAGATACTGTACACTCCCAGGTAGCGAATCAGTACTCTGTATCGGTTGATACCCTTTTCCCTTCCCGATAGCTGCATTAAGGGTATCGGCCAACACGAGTACTTATCCGATACCTGGAACATCTCTAGTTACAATTTTGCTGTTCATTATGTCTCGGCCCAACGTCCTGTTTCAGTAGGAAACATCCTTAAAC